AAGGGATAGTTACTCTCTGTCTATTTCTTTAGCACAGTTAGAGGTGAGCCTGCCTTCCTGATGGATGGTTCTTAACCCTGCTCAACTGGATTGGGGGTATCTACCCTATCCAGAGATTTCAACCTTTTTGCAAGAAGGAAATAATTTTCCCTTGAGGGGTCTTCTTTACTGCTGCCCTGTCACCTGGTACTTAACAATAGACCCATCAAGCCACAGGGATCCAACACCCCAGCTACCTACTGCACCCTCAGAATTCACCACACTTTGTATGAAAGTGTTAATTTTCTCTTAGCCCATTGTGACTATACCAGCTAAAATCTGAAACATTTGTTTTCTTCTCCCATGAAGTAATAGACTTTATTAGTATTAACATCAACCTGAAAAGAAACCTAGAAAAAATTATTGAAAAATTTTTTCTTTTACTCTTTAATAACTTTATTAGATTGTGAGCGTTATTTGAATTTTAAATTTATAGAATATTTTGAAAATGAACATTCCTTAAAATGATGACCAGATCTCAAAGGGTTGTACATTAAGAATGTCAGAGGGTGTTGGACAGTGTGTTTTTCATTCTCTCGGGAATCTTCTCTACCTATGTGCCTTCTTTGCTGTAAGTTTGTGAGCCTCCTTTTAACATTTCATTCACAACTTTCAATTAGTTAGCAGTTTCCTCACTGAAACATTGTTTTGAATTTCTGAATTGAATCTGAGTCAGGACTTGGTACTATATTACACTCAGAGAGTCCCTGCTGACAGGACAGGGCTGAGGATGGAGAGAGTGTATGCCGTGGAATGGGCTGATGCTGCTTACAGTTAATATGACTTACCTTGCAAGCAGATGCCAGCTCACAGAGTTTGGCTCCACCCCCAAGCAAGAGGAACTAATGAAAGGGAGGATTTGGTTCTGTGTAAAATGAATCAGTCTTTTTGATTTCTTGAATGGCACTGAGGCTGTCCTACAGAACTCCAGACTGTGGACATTTTCATGCTGACATGGGTCACTGAAAACCTACTGTCCAGAAACAAGTTCAAGAAGGACTAGTCCATGTTGTGACTGCTGCTTCCACTTGCCTGTGATTAATGATGTCAGAAGTCCATGATTCTAAGGACCTTACCATGCACATGTGAAATTGCCTTGTCCATACATCAGCTTTCCTTCCCACCTATCAGACAGGGTTGGAAAATTTGTGCATGTCAGCATGTCCTGCTATGTCTCTTATCACTAGAAAAAGTACTGCTGGTCAGTGCTGATTTATGTCACCATACCTGCATTGTTGTATTTCCTCTTCTTGGGTTATCAGAGTTTATGAAATACAAAGAAGAAATCACTCTCCTCTCTGTAGCAGTCTTGAGGAAAATTGTGAGGTAGCTGCTTATTAGCATAACTCCCATGTATATTATATTTTACCTAGTTGAAATCAGGTTCTGCATGAATTTTTATTTTGTTTGTTAAAATAGTCACAGTTCTTACTGATTTTTTCATGTATTTATAAGGTTCTTACTCTAGGAGGTCATATTTCTGAGACTATATTAAATCATAGTTACAGAAATTTTATTTCATTTATTTAATCTTTTCTAATAATATAAATGAAAATTTCTGTATTGTAGCTAGCAGACTAGTCATATTAACTCCCTTAAAACAAAATAATTAAGTATCTGCCTATAATTTTTCCTTTAAATAAATACCTGCTCACTGAATCATCTCTGGTTCAGCTCTGTTTCTTTTTGTGTTTTGTCATAGACATAGGACAGTATTTCTTGACATTAGGTCACCAAACCTCTGAGAATTCAGTAAAAGCTATGAACCTTTCCTTGTGGAGAAATGAATATTCACATGTGCGTGTGTATGTGTGTGTGTGTGTGTGTGTGTGTGTGTGTGTGCGTGCGCACACACACACACACACACACACAATTATAAGGATAATCAATTATGATCTGCCTGCCACTCTGCCAGCTGCTTTATATGTGTACTTGGTTTAATTTTTATCACCGTACTATAAGAAATTATCTGATATTCTAATTTTTGATTTAATGACTATTATAGACATAAACAGGTTAAGTAATTAGTTGAATTCAGGACTAATAAGTGGAGAAATGGGGCTCCAGTTCTGATTTTTATGAACCCAAGTACTGTTGCCCTAAAGTCATTGTGCCTATGATTTTAGGGAAACCATTAGTTTATAAGCCTGCGAATTGATTCCTGGGTTAAGGACCTTATCTGCAACAAGCTAGGGTTTAAGAGCACTGACTGCTCTTCCAAAGAACCTGGGTTCAAACCCAGCACCCACATGGCAGCTCACAACTGTCTTTAACTTCAGAATCTGACACCCTCACACTGACATATGTGCAGACAAAACACTGATGCACATAAAATAATAAAGATAAATAATTTTTTAAAAACCCAGGGTCTTTTGTTACTAGCTTTAAGTCTGTGTGTCTAGTGAATCTTGGTTTCTATGTAACTTGTTTAATTGAAACAACATATTTGAGCATCTACTATTTTGAATAACTGGAATTTACTATCTTCATGGGATTGTGACTATTATAGTAGTGCAGTTTAGTAATAGAGTACTTGTCTAGCATGCACAAGACCTTAGGTATGATGCCCAATACTGCAAAAAGAATTAAATATGTGAAACAAAGAGGAAAACTACAAACATGAAGTTGAATTTACAGTAATTAGACATTTCCATAAATGATTTGTGGAGAATAATCTCTTCACTTCATTGTACCTGGCATAATTGCCGTTATCTGGTTCTCTTTATAAAAGGGTAAATCAAAGTCTATCAAGTCTTTTGGGAAACTGAGGATTTGATATGTCGTAAATCAGGTTGGTAAAGTGACTGAGAGTTCAGCATTAGCACATCCAAACTCCTGAGTTGATTTATCTGTCAGCCAGGGAGCATGTTCAATGAGGAGTAGCGTGAATCCAAACCTAACCCCCAAGCCTTCCAGTTATGTGCATGGGGAATTCTGTTCATTTGAACATAAACAGGACAGCAGAACATCTCAATAGCTGGGCATTTCACTCATCTAGGGCTCCTTCTGATAGAGAGGACTTGAAATGTTTTAAATGAGGCAACATTGGCTTGAATGGCACAGAACTACTTGAGGTACTCTGTCAACCTTGGAGGGAATATGTGCAATGAACACTTACAATGCTGTTGGGATGAGAAGCCATAACTGTAATTCAAAGAACTTCTTTCAACAAGAGCATCATGTGAGGCAATTGTATGTTTGGGATGCACAATTCCTGCACAGTGGGTTATCAGATAGGATTCTTTCTGTTGCTTACTGCACATCATTGTTGACGTACAGGGAATGCTCTGTCAAGCTCTTCATTAGCATGCTTGTCACCAAATGTTTGTACAGTTTTAGAACTTTACTCTTTTGAAACTTGGGTTTCTTAGTCCTCTTTTAGATAATGTTGGTTTCTAAGTGGCATGTGAGTTTTCTTCTCAAAGCAAACTAACTTTACTAAGACTGCCTGTGTTCAGAGTTGATCTTCTTTTTTATGCATCATTTTTATTTGAAATGTCTACAATAAGAGCATTTTGTGTGTAGGTATATAGCACATTTGTACTATATTTAAATTAGCTTAATATGTTGATTTATAATTTTTTCTTTGTAATGTTCCCTTGTCTCTACAATCTAAGTTGATGGGATTCATTTTTTAAAACTGAGGCAAGGACTTTTTGTAAATATGTTATGGTTTCAAAATGGGTGAAAGGAAGGAACATAGGCAAGCCGGCAGCAATCATTGCTCATACATCATCTTTGGAAGTCATCTAGTTTTCTAGCTAGATATGAAAAGGAAAACAATTATACAAATTCTATGGGTTCTTAAATTCCAGCTTGGGGAATATGTGTTTGAAAAGAAAACACTTCTTTTTATGTTTTTTAAGTACTTGAGCTGCTTTTAATGTAATTAGTAGATGGATATGAAATGTCCATCATGCTTTGACTTCACAAGAAGAATTGAAAATACAGTAACTATCCAGATCTTGACTGTGCATTGTGCTTGTCTGTGTGGAGGGAACTTCAGACCTTTTGATTTCCTAATAAGCAGAGCTCAGGGACAATAAAACTTGACATTCTTAACCAATACTAGCATTTGTCCCTGTAGCCCTGTGTCATTTCTTTCTTGTTAATTTTAAAGCCAGAATTATAAGGGATCATGGTCTCAAGGTGCTACTGTAACTGTAAATAGCATCCATGTGGGCCTCTTGAGCCTAAGAGATGGAGGGAAGAGAAGACGGAATTTTTTAAGTAGCATGAAGATGAAGTCAAGGGCAAAGACTGCAATAGAAGGACAAGCATATGCAAATGTCCCTTAACATTTGCAGTAAGTTTCACCCAGGTGGGCATCTTCATATCTGCCAATACTTCTTTGCTTTTTAAAGCCAAACTCTGATCAGGGCAGCAGCAGCTGCTGCTGCTGCTAGTGATATGCATGCGTGTGTGTTGTGTAGGAGGTTGGCACTCATGAGATAATACAAATAATCAGTGAGGGAATAATTAATGATGTGGCAGGGAATATTTTTGATAAATGCTTAGGGAATGAGGTGACAAGCGTGAAATTAGAAAATTCCTTCAGTGATCTGAAATATAAATAGCTTTCGGAACTGAAAAGAGTTTCTCAGCTGAAGATTTTATTGTGTTGAGAGGAAAAACTTTTTTCTCTTCCCCCCTCCCTTTCTCCTTTGCAAGTTGTTTGTCCATTCACAAAACAAATACTCTGAAGCCCAGCGCGGCTCATGGGAATAAATTTCAGGTCGAATTAGTACAGTTTCCTTGCTGTCAGGATGCTGGAATTAATGGTGTTTTGATGACACGAATTTTGAAGGGCCAACAAAGAAGCTGAAGGGAGAAAGACATGACTCCTTAGAAGCTCAGTCCTCCTCTCCCCCAGTCTCTCTTGTCTTCCCTGTCATCCGTCTGCCAATCTCCCTGTCCATGGTTAGTTAAAGGCGCTTTTTATCCTCTTTTCTTTCCCACAGAGTTTGCCAGATCCGGCCCGGTGCCTGGGTTCCAGGAGGACACGCTGCAGTTGGCCTTCATCGACTTGAGACAAGTAAGTCTTTGTGTTTTTGTTTTTTGTTTTTCTTTTAAGATGTGTGACTGAAGACCATCAGGTCTTAAGGAAAAGGGGAGGGGAGGGGTTTTGGCATTGGTGATTCACACTGGAGACCTAAGGGCTTTTCCCTGTGTTTGAGGCCACCTCTTTTATTTAGCTATCTGAGATCCTTAGCTGTGGTGGAGTAAAGGTTTTGTGGGTAGAAGGGAAGACAGGGTGTGGGAAGAGGGATCCACAAAGTAGAGGGACTCAAGTGACCCTCAAGTGATGTGATCCATTGTGTGGCCATTGACTTCTGCAGACACAGCGAAAAGATGACTCGTCAAACCCATGCTAAGCAGGTGCACTGATGCAGAGACAGCCTGCCTAGAGAACTTTGTGTCTGGATAATGTCGCCAGCAGTGTCAAAGGAAAATGAAATGTTTTCCTTTCTGGGTTGTTAGTCCAGTTTGTTGACTTTTTACTGCTGCCTCATACCTTCTATTGCCTCCTGTGTAAAATGTGGTCAGCCATCAGCAACAAGAGTGGTAGTGCTTGAAGGTGGTTTGCAAAGGTTCTGACCAGTCATGCTAGCCTGATGGGAAGTCCTGTTACAGTATCACAATGAATGATGATACTTATGTCTACTTGAGCTTTGGCAAGCCCACAAGATAGAAAGACCACCCCAAGTGCTGTTCTCGCAGACTGGGAAGGGTGGGTGGGTTGGTTGGTAGGCCCTGGTGTTTTGGGTATAGTAGAAAAAGATGGGTGGGGGCCAAAAGGGAGAGCTGTAACTGTGCTGTCATCTCTTCACTCTGAAGATGGATGGGATTGGATAGAAAGTGCGAATGAAGTAAGCATCAATGACTGATGCTTCTCTCCTATTAAAACAATCTTTTTTTTTTGTCTGTTTTAGAAGGGGGGCTGGCTTTGTTTCTCCTGCCATAATGATGCAGTGCCTCTTGTTTTCAGAGCTGACATAGTTTGCATTCTGAAAACTTGTAGATGCCCAGAGTGTTTCTTAAAGCTGTAGGACCCCTTGTCTGGGTAACCTCCTTACCACTGTGACTGGATTCCTGCCGGAATAACTTTTAACCCATAATGGATGGCCTGAGCTAGCCCCGGACCCTTGTGGATGGGCAGTGTAATCTGTCATCGATGACAATTCCGGAAAGCCCTGTTCAGCGGAATCATGTGTCTATAGACCTGACAAGGTTTGAGGATTCAGACCACGTCCCAGAAACGTGTGTCAACTTAATATTTGGTGGCTGGGTTGGGGGTTCTTTTTTTTCATAGGCTTTCCTAGCATTGTCAGAAATGGAGCTGTCTCCCTCTACACTGAACATCTTCCACCTGTAGGTTTGATGTGCCCAAATTTTAGCCTTTGATCTAAGATGGAAAGATTGAGATTTTGCTGTAGGGTTCAGTGGGATCCGTTCCTTTCCTCTCCAATTTGTTCTTTGAAACTTCTAAGCTGGTTTTTTTTTTATCATTTTTTTATTTGAATTAGAAATAAGGTTGATTTACATGACAATCCCAGTTCCCTTCTCCCTCCCTTCCTCTCCTACCACCCCCCAACTAAAACCCTACCTATCACATACCCTTTCTTCTATTCTTCACTTGACTCAAACTTTCTGCTCCCTTATGACCTCTGCATCTTTCCTTTTCTTCCCTTGCCAGTTCATGCTTCTTGGAAAATAAAAAGTGATTTTCTTTGGAAGAACATATCCAAGAAAAAGTCTTTCCTTTTTCACTGTTGATGAAAAGGAAATGTCATTCTCACTAGTTTGTAGTTTTGGCACCTATGGAAAGCAACTAGTGTTGACAGAAAACGTGACCTTAGGGGTAAGTGGGAAAGCACATTCAGGGTGAGGTGGGCCTGAGCAGGGATGAATGTTCAAGTACGAGTGAGCTCCAGGTGAGCAGTGGTGGTATGGATGTTAAACTTCCTATTTGTGCTGCATTCCCACTCTCAGAGTTTCTTTTATGATGTTTAAATGATAAAGCCCAAACTACAAAATTTAACTGATAATGACCAACTATGTCTCTTCCTATTCAACATGTCATCTAAATTCTACTTGTATCTTTCTCTGTTATAACAGTTGGAAAGGGATAATTTCCAACCAAGATTATTTGAACAATGTCCTTAGTTTAAGACTGTGTTAGCAGATAGGCTTACATACCACAAAACAGTCCTTTCAGATTCTGCTCTGAAAACAGCTCCTTCTTTCATGCATCTAGGCCATGCTCAGATGTTCAAACTACCAGGAGAATTCCTGTTTGTATGTTACTATAGGAGACTTAGCATAAGATGAGACATGGTTGATTGTCCTGTTGTTTGAACTCCTCACAATCCTAAAACTGAATTTTAAATTGGTAGGGGGAGTGGGTGTCATCAGAGACTAGCCTTAAAATTGGACAATAAGAACTTGGTATGTTCCTTCCATCTTTGCAAAACACCCAACCCATATGGTGAGTTGTGACTCCTTGGAGAAAACCCTTCCCAGAGCAACAAGTTCACCTCAGGCAGTCTCGTTATCATGAACATGGTCATAACCTAGCTCAGTGACAGCCCTTGGAATTTATGTTCATTGTCTGCTTGTTTTAGAAGTAGTGGCTTTGGCTTTCTGTCCTTTATGCTGTCAGGTGTCCCCTTTACTGATGTTGGTCTCTTTTCTCCACACAGAAGGGCTTCCTACCTGGCCTTTAGATGGTTTCAAGGTCTAAACTTGGAGGTGGGGCTTTTCCTAGCCCTGTTCTTCTTTCAAATGTGTCAACTCACAGATTCTTGAATTCTCATAGTTGTCCAAACCTTTTTAGGTTCTAATTTCATTATTTAGTTGATTAACATATTTAATCATTAGGCTTTTACAAGTCAGAGATCAAAACAATAAATGGAATTAGCAGGGACTAGGACAGTGGCTCAGTAAGTTAAGCATTTGCCATGAAACCTGCCTGAGTTTGCTTCCTGGAGTCCATGTAAAGGTGAAGGAGAGAACTGACTTGACTTCATAAAGTAATTTTCTGACCTCCATGACAGTAAGTGCACACCCACTACTTAAACAAACACATACACACAATAATAATAATAATAATAGTAAACATAAAAATTTTAAATGGCAATAGAAACAGCAGAAGTGAAAATTAACACAAATGTCATGTGACTTTTCCTGATTAAATATGTATTCACCCAAGATAAAACACACAACAGCCCCCCCCAACAAAACAAAACAATTCTACCCAGGTCTAGCTGGAATTACAGGAGAATGAGTAACTGGTTGGTAACAGGGAGCATGGGCAGTTTACAACAGCTAGGCAATTATTAAGTGTTTACATACCTTCAGAGGAGAAAATCATAAGCCCTCCTCCACTTCCAAGAGCACTGTACAAAGGCCCAGTCTTGTGAGGGTTTCCTGTAGCAGTCACATGTAGCAGTAAGTGCTAAGATGGCAGTAGCCATGTCAGGCAACAACTGTGCCTGGCCCATGCAGAGTTCCATAAAAGGCAGAATGTAGTGTGTATGCCCATATGAGAAGGGGGTCTGTCCTGGTGTGCTTTAGGGTGCATGCTCTCCCAATACCACTCAAATACTGACTGTTTGCCTCTCTTGTTTCCAAGTGTATCATGCTGATCATGCACCCATGTTCTTTTGTGTTAGACTTTCAGATGCAATTAGGTGAGTGATAATTTAAAACATATTCAAAACATGGACATTGATGAAAAATTCTCTGTATAGTCTGTAATGGCAGTGTGTCATTTAAAAGCTCTGCAATTTCATTAGAAAGAAAATTAGATGTGGATCATAAAGTTATTCAGCCTTTTTCACTTACTGTATTGTCATTTTTTCTAATTCTTAAGGTAAAAAGTGAAATGGCATTTTGAATACAGAAGCATTCATGATATTTCAGAGTTAAAATACATTGACATATACTTTTCATTTGTTAAGATTCTAGGATTAAAAAATCTGCTGTTAATGATAATGAACTATACAGTACAAGTTGAAATGCCTTTCTTTAGCATTTTATATTTATGCTACAAAAGTTCAATTTCAGTACAGTTTTCATGCAAAAATACATGTATATTTCTTTCAGCTTCCAAGCTTTGGTAATGTTAAAGTTTAAGGACAAAATAAACCCTCATTTAATGAAATATTTTAATGTGATATCTACACTCCTGGAATTGGTGGCCTCAAGTTATTAATCTTTAGAAATTAATAGAGGGCCAGTAGTAGATTCTTAGTGGCTCTTTACTTTTTAACAATTCTGTGGCAAAACATGAAGTAAAAATACTGTTGAACACCAGCACTGGGTTTTCATGTCATCAAACTCTTGAGTGCCTACTATGCTTAAGTGATGCACAGCAAGTACACATTGAGTGTGACTATGACTTCTCCCAAAGGGGCAAATGATGATCACAAAGTCATTGATTCTAATATGGCCATGTTGTGATAAGTATTGTTGTCTTAGAGACATTACAACATTGTATGCATTTCAATTATTTGACTCCCATAACATACTGGCTTGAACCATGTGTGGAGCTCAGGATTCTTCTAATCAGCAATTCTGGGTAGTTGAGCAAGTCTCCATACTTACTCAGCTGCTGGATTGAAAAGATTGACCAGTCTAGAGGCTCTCAGTATCTATGGCAGCTTGTCTCTGCTCCATGTGATGTTTCATGTACAGGCAGCGTGCTCTAGACCTACTCACAGCATTTGGCAAAGGTTCCAAGAGAGGAAGTGGGCAAATTGAGGCCTGTGCTCAGAACCAGTAGATTGTCACTTCTACCACATTCTCCTGTCTTCAGCTACTCTCAGGGTCAATTCAAATTAAAGAAATTGGGACATAAATTGTACCTCATAGTCTATCTGGAATGGAATACTTATGTATGAGAAATGTAACTCAGGGGCAGGGGTTCATTGTAGGCACAAAAAGCTATAAAATTTTCATAGGAAGGAGAGTTAAAGTGGATGAAAATTAGACTCTGTGTGTGTGTGTGTGTGTGTGTGTGTGTGTGTGTGT